GAGGTGACAAAGAAAATCAGAAAAACAGAGGGAGAGATGGAGGGAGGGAAGGAAGGAGGGAAAAGGCGGGAGAGAGAGACCCCTGAAATCTCTCCCAGCCACGCGTCCCTCAGAAGACAATTTCTAAGCATGACGAATTGCTGTCCCCGACCCTTCCGGAACGGCCCCTCCCACACTGTGTGCCTTTTCTCTGCATAGTAATGTGTCTTTAAAAAAAAGAAAGAAAGAAAGAGCCCCTGATATATGTTACAAGAAGTGTATCTCTTTCCCCAAGACAGAACATTTTAATTCCCCGACACCTTTTAGTGATTGCTTCAATTTCTGAAGATTTTGATAAAATCATGCGGTTTAAGCGCTGGGCTGAAGCGGCCGCGCAGGCAGCGCGTAATGAAATGCGCCTGTTTCATCGCCTTCATTTGACACAGCCCAGCTCCGGGGGCTAATAAACGCCGCGTGATAAATGTTGGAGCCATGATTGTAAAAATATACTTGTAATTGGGTTAATATGCCTTAAAATACTACCCATCAGTTATCTTTCTTTCTCTCCCGCGCGGTGTGTGCAGGGTGTGTGTGGCACCAGGGCCTCTCCCCACGCAGTCCTTCGGCCCTCCTGCAGCCCTGCAGCCCCTTGCTGAGGAGGCTGGGTGAGCCTGAGGCTGGAGGGCACAGCCAGCCTGAGGCGGCCAGGACGCAGGGCATGGGTCCTCAGTGCAGGGGCAGAGGGAGCCTCTGGGTGACCCAAACCCTGGGAACTTGGGCCCAGCTCCCTGGCTCCCTGTAGCTGCCTGTGGGTCACTGCCCCATGGGCATCGGTCTTAGAAGCAGGGACCTCGGGGTGGGAGGCTGGCAATGTGCAGGGTAGGCAAGGCAAGGGGGCGTGGTGGATTGGGAGCAAGGACCTTTGCCTCACTTGACTTGAAAGGCAGCCAGGCAGGGACAAGGGACACAAGCCAGGGAGGAGGATGCTCTGCCCAGGGACAGTCTCCAGGGAGAGGCACAGAAGCTGAAGCAAGGGGATGCTGCAGCCACAGGGCACACCCCTACTCCAGTTTGGCCTTCCACCCACACTGTCCCCTGTCCACACATGCAGAAGTGGGGTCACAGGGTAGCACTGAGTTCTCTGCAGCAGCAGAGACCCTGGAACAAGCCCTTTGGTATCCCCAATGCCATGGCCATGACCTGGCCTCACCGCTGTCTTACACATGCTTGTGGACCTGCAGATTGGATGGATGGATGGATGGATGAGTGGATGGGTAGGCAGATGCATGGGCCAGTGGAAGGACAGACGAAGGATGGATGGATGGGAGTTTTAATGGGGGTCACATGAGTGGATAGATGGATATATGAGTGGGTGGATAGGTACATGGGTGGGACAGGTGGCTGATGGATGGGTGGGAGTTTGGAGAGTAGGTGGATGGATAGGCGAAGGGATGAGTGATGAAAATGGATGGATAGATAGATAGGACAGATGGTGAGTGGATGGATGGATGGATGGATGGATGGATGGATGGATGGATGGATGGATACATGGGTGGGTGAGTGGGAAGATGGGTGGGTGAGTGGGAAGATAGGTGGATGAATAAATGGGCAGTTGGATGGACGGATAGGAGGGTGGATGGATCGATACATGGGTGGGTAGGTGGGTAGATAGATGGATGCATGGACACATGGACATGTGGGTGGATGGATGCGTGAGTGGGTGGATAAGTAGATGAATGGGTAGTTGACTGGACAGATGGTGGAGGGGTGATGGGAGTTTGGGTGAATGGTGTGTGGGTGTGTGGGTGCAGGGCAAGTGGATGGGTAGATAACTAAATGCTTATACTACAGAGCTTAGGGTCAGCCTTGAGCAGGGGCTGGTTTGGGAACTGCTCTATGGACATGCACAGGGCGCAGAGCAGCCTTTGGTTCAGGCCAGAGCTCTTTCTCGCCCCCAGGGACAGGTCTCCTCCTTGTGGGCTCCTCCTCCCTCTGGGCTGTCTCAGCCAGGCCTGGCCCCACCTTGCTGGACCTGTCGGCCCCCAGCAGCCCACACAGAGCTCCTCACTCCCTCCTCCACGCTCCAGCCCCACGGGGCGAGGTCCTGGGCACGTGGGCCAGACAGCCTGAGTCTGAAGGGCTGCAACATGAGGGCCAAGCCTTCCAGGGAGCTGTGCCCAAGAGGGTGCCCAGGCCAGGGAAAAGGGGCGCCCAAGGCAGATGGAGAAGGCCCAGATGCTCCTCCCCAGAGACCAGGCTGGCTGGGGGGCCAGTGGAGTCTCAGTTTGCCCTGGGCACCACCCCAAGGGGCAGGGGCCAACCACACCACAGCCCTTGGGTGCAGGCGTGGGGCACCGCAGAGGGACTCCCTCGGGCTCTCCCTGGCAAGGGAAGGAGGCACAGAGAAGCCACAGGTGTGAGCCCAGGCCCCACAGGCTTGGGCAGAGCGGGCCATGGGCAGGCCAGGCCTGGAGGGTCCAGCGCAGCCGCTGTGCTCGGCTCTGCATCAGCACACATGGTCTGAATGAGGAAAATGGTGCCAGGGCCAGCGTGTGAAAGGAGGCCCCTTGCCCTCGCCCTAGGCCTTGGCGACACACAGCACGCAGGCCACACACGCTGCTGCTCACACACGCACAGACGCCACGCACCCTCAGCCACAGAAACTCATCCCGGACGTGTGCCGAGCCCCCTGGGACAGTGGCCCTTAACATTCATCCCCAGGACTGAAGGGCCAAGGGCGTGAGGGTGAGGTCACGGTGCTGCTGGGCCCTCCTGACACCCTGGGCCCCACCGCCCCCACCCTGCCCGACCCCTCGATCAGGCCCTGTCCCCACCATCTCGCCTGGTGCCAGCCCTGTGGTGGGCAGCACGGCTCCCTGTGCCTTGCTGGGTGCAGAGGGGACGTGCGCAGGCAGGCCCAGGAGGTGCCAGCATCATCCCTCCGGGATGGTGTAGCTTAGGCCTGGCCACGCAGGTGCTGTGCTCACCCAGCCCCGCCCAGGCAAACTGGGCCTTCATTCTCCCCATCCTGCCAGCTGCCCAGCGCAGCCCTGCTGTTCCAGGAAGCCACACACCCCACCCCTCCCCGAGTGATCGTGAGCCCCGCTGCTGGCCCCGGTGTGCAGCCACTGCCTACTGCAGGCACCGCTGCCTCCCCACCACACACACTGCCCAGATTCTCGGGCAAGGTGGAGGGTGAGCAGGCTCCATCAGGCCAGGACTCGACCCAACCCAGTCCTCAGAGGCACCCAGGGGGCTGGAGGCCCAAAAGCACTGGAGACCCCAGCACTACAGCTAGGAGCCCACCCTACTCAGCCATCCTACCCACACCCAGGCCCTGCCTGAGCTGCCCTCTGCACAGCTGGGGCCTGAGGGATGGTGGACAGGGCAGGAAGACCCCAGTGACCCTTCACTGAGGTGGCTCCGCTGCCCACCTGGTCCCCTACCTAGAAGACGCTGCTTCCTTGCAGCCTGCTTGTCGAGAGCCCAGACAGCGGGCCTGGACTCTCCAGGTGCTGCTCTTCCGTGTGGCAGGTCCAGAGGTGTCCACCCTTCCCCTGCCCACAGATGGGCTGGACAGTTGGCAGCTGGTCCCAGTGCCATCCCTCCTGCCCCAGGCCTCTGCCCACAGGGTGCCTGTGGGCACCGGTCTGAAGAGCATGCTCCACCAACCAGGACAGTGCTGCCCGAAGCTGCCCTCCCGCCCAGCTGCCCCATCTGAGCGCGGAGCTCCCCGACCCAACAGGACAGGCTCAGCAGGTCCACCCGTCAGTGGCTGTCCTGAGTTCGGGTGGGGGGCGCAGCCCCAGAGTGCTGGGTACTGGCCCCTGGGCTGGCAGAACTGGCCAACTCCACCCTAAGAGGCCAGCACAGAGGGCAAGACCTGCTGGACGGGAGCCCTTTAGCCAGGCCATGGGGGCGACCCGCATGCAGTCGGTTCCAGGACAGGAAGGTGAGGACACGGGGTCTCTAGCTTCACGGAGCCTGCGGCAGACGCGGTGGCTGCGGCTCGCACGCAGTGATGGAATCTGAATGAGCCGCTGACCTTTCTGGAGTGACAGGTGACCCGCAAGATAGCTGAGGTGGCAGTGGCAGCGGCCTTGAAAATTGCTGCTGCTGCCCGAAAATAAACAATAAGAGAGCAAATGTGGTTTGAAAATTGACTGGCCGAAACACTTGGGGGGTTGAAAGTGAGTTATTTCGGGCCACCGGTCCCAGCCATTGCAGGCCCCTCCCTTCACTGCCGGCTCAGCATGGCCAGGCAGACAATGAGACCTCGTGTAGGGCACTACGGGGCCGGATGTGGGGTGGCCCTCAAGGGCCCCAGGATAGGGAGAGAGCCATTCTGAGGCCACAGCCTGGGCTCACAGGACTGGTGTGGCCCTGCCCCCACGTTGCCAGAGGCACAGCTCTGCAGGGAGGGCCTCATGCCTGGCACTTGTCTGACTGCTATGCTGACTCACAGTTTAAAGGCTGGACTTGCCTCTGAAGGTCCCAGCTCCCAGTGACACACCCTCCCTGTGCTTGGAGGACAGCCCTCCGTCTCCTGGGTGACCCCCACAGGAAGGTCCTGAGCCCTGCGGTCAGGCCTGGATGCAACACCGTACCTGGAGGGGGAACCAGCCTTCCTGCGGGCTCTTAGGAAGCAGCAGCTCCGGACGCAGAGACCCCTGGAGACCCCACATCCAGGCTCTGGGCTCACACGGCCTCTGCTCAGCTGGCCACCCTGTGGCCAGTGCCCGCCTGGGCCCCTCCAGGAACAGTTGCTACACACCCCCAGCAGCGCCCGGCCAGGGCTGCCCTGCTCCCTGCAGTGGCCCAGGGGGACCTCACCCTTGGCAACTCCACAGCCTCGGGCCCTGGAGAGGGGAATGCCAGCCTGAGTGCAGAGAGCATCCTACCCTCAGGGCCTGGCACGCAGCTCTGGGGGCCTATGGGCTTCAAAGAGATCTCAGGAGACCCCAGGCCTCAACCCCAGAGGAGGGATGGAAGTGGGTGCGAAGGACCAGAAGCCCCAGCACGCGTCCTGGCAGCTGGAGCCCCGAGGCTGCAGTGGCTTCCACAGCGGTGGCTGATGACAGGCAGTTGCCACACTGGGGCGCAGTGGGGCCGTCACTCTTGCCGCTGTCAGTCCGCGTGGCCGCAGCCTCCTGGGCCAGGCAGCCTGCGAAAGCCGTCCACTGAGCCATACGGCAGCCAGCACCACACAACCTCTGCCCGCCGGGCTGGCCCATGAGCTTGAGCTGCGCATGTAGCCACCAAGAGGTCCCAGGCCAGGTGTCTGGGACAGGAGCGCGCAGGAAATCACACTGCGGGGCCTGCGGCGGAGACCCAGGGGCACCAGAAGGGGCCAGGCCTGCACCAGACAGGGCACCCAGCTCAGGAAGAGCCGGCCCAGGCTGAGCTCGTGAGCACTGCTGTCAGCAAGCAGACAGAACCGGACAGAACTGCCCGGTTCCTGCAACCTTGACTCTTCAGGAGAAGAGCAGAGTGCAGGGTCCTCAAGGCCCTGAGGGGGCAATGCAGGGTGGAGTAGGGAGGGGACAGAAAGGGGCAGCCAGGCCTGGCCCCAGAAGGAGAAGGGGTGCTGTGGCAGGGCATGGGGGACAGCATCCAGTCACACCCCAGACCCAGGAGCCCAGAGCCTCAGCCTCACAGCACGCCTCCTCCCGCCCCTCCTACTCAGTGCGGCCCTGCTGCCCCCTCGCCTGGCCTTGCGCCTCCTCTCAACCCCAGCCCTGGCCCCTGCCCTTCCGCCCAGTACAGCCCAGAGATACAGGTGTCCGCGTCCAGGGTGAAGGGATGGGGCCAGGCCTGCACCATGCTGGACCTGCTCTGCTCCTGCCGCAGCCGCTTCAGCCTTGTCTCCGCGGAGTCCCTCCCTCCCTCCTCCCCCCACCCCAGCCCCGCATCCCTCTCCACCCGCACCCCAGGCCCAGACCCTGTGCTCCCTTTGCTGCCAGGCCCCCATCTGTGCCACGACGCCGTCCCCTTCTCAGGGAGAGCCGGGAGGCTGGGGCCCAGGGCACGCTGTGGGGAGCTCTGCGGTGACTGCGGAGCCCCAGCCCCGCCTCTCTGAGTAGTTGGATCCTCACAACACAGTGGCTCACCCAGAGCCGGTGCCCCCGAGGAGCAGCAGAAGCAGCGTCACTCTACGTCAGGCCATGGGAACCACCTGCTCCCCAGAATGGACACTGTGTGCAGGTCTGTGGCCTCCTCGAGAGCTGTCTGCACTGTGGGCTCCCTGGTCTGTAACCCAGCCAGGGGTTCAGGGCCTCCCCGTGGCCCGGCCCACCCAGAAACCTCAGCAGGCTCCTCCCAAGGAGGAGGATAGGAGGTTTCCAGGGCTTTTTCTTCAGGGCCTTTGCACTGAGCTGCACCTCCAGCCCTATTTATGTTTCATTTCAAGGCAGGGTCTCGCTAAACTGAGCTTAAACCTATGATCCTCCTGCTCCGTAACCTGCAAACCTGCTCTGACTTCTCGGGGGCTGTGGGTTCCAAAAGCCCTGTAAATCTACTCAGGATGAGAGTCTTGAGCAATGTGGACAGAGCAGTCCGCATCTGGCCTCAGGACAGCTACCAGAGCCGCACTTTGCTAAGCAAAAGACCCCTACACCGAATGGCACCAGGGGACCAGTGCACGGGCACACAGCATGGCCTTGGCAATGCAGGGGATGGCGGCCAAGCCTCCCCTTCACCCAGCTCCCTTGCCCAGGATGCCTGCTAGCCCCACACCCGGGCTGTCCCCGAGCCTGTCCCCCCCACCCCAGCCTTTGCCACACCTGGCCCCGTGGCCCCCTCAACTCTGCCCTCACCATTCCCCCACCTTGGCCAGACTGGAGCCCACCGTGTGCCCAGGTGCTCCGCACTGCAGCCCTTCCTGGCCAGGCCCTCGCTCCAGGCTGCATCCCGGCTCTGGGGACCAGGGGGCCAGTGGTGGGTTCACCCCTGGGACCCCTACAAGGACAGACTTGACTCCAGCTTCAGGCTAGTGCTGACCAGGCCAGCCCGGGGCACCTACCCTGCTGCACCCCATTTCCCAGGCAGCTGCAGAACCTCCTCTGTGGGCCCAGTGGGCCAGGTGGCGCCCACACCTACCTCCTGGGCCCTTCCAGCTGCACCCTGCTCCCTGCGGGCGCCCACCACCTCAGCCCCGTTTATCACCCTCCGTCCTTCACCAGCCCTGCTCCTCGCCCAAGGGAAAGCCATTCGGATCTGCCCAAGCTGAACAATACAATATTTCTGTTGAGCTGTGAAGTTGATTAATAATTTGGAAATGAAATCAATATGCCCCTGCTTTTCATTCCTGGTGGACACTTGTGCACCAGGCAGCCCCAGGGAAGCAGCGGGATCGGGACAGGGACAGGGCAGGAGCAGGGTGCAAGGGTAGCCAGCTCCACAGGCACCGCCTGGCAGACAGCACAGACTCCATGCCCACGGTGGAGGAAGCGGCGGCAGACGCCACCAACCTCCTTCTGCACCCTCAGTACTTGGGGACAGGGCCACCCAGCCTTCAGGTGCTACCCCATGGCAAGAGCCCTGTCACCTCAGGGCCATGGACCCTGCAGTTATTGTCTGCCCGGCCCCCTACGCAGGGTCCCTGTACAGCTCCACGCCTCCCCAGGACTCCCCAGGCCAAGGCTGCACCCACACTCCTCCCCAGCGCCCCATCCTCACCTGGCCTGCTGGGCACTGTTTTCTGGCCAGATGCTGGGACACCCAGCAGGTCCAGCCCCAGCTCCTGGCCTGCCCAGCTCCTGGCCTGCCCTTCCCCTCCTCTAAGGAGAAGCATCTGGCTCATCTCAGGATGGGGCCAGCGAGGCAAGCTTGGGAGAGATGGAGAGGAACGTGAGCACCTGACCAGTGAGCAGAGGTTCAGACCCTGACACCACAGGAGGAAGCCCCAGGCCCAGAGCAGTAGGGAGCACCCAGCTCCCGGTGGGCAGGACCAGGGCCCAGAAGATTGTGGGCAGCAGGGGACCTAAGGTGGGCAAGTACAGAGCAGCTCAGGCTGAGGAGCCCCGGCTCAGTGCTGGGGGGCAAGGGACATGTGGTCCAGAGCAAGAGCCTCTCAGAAGGCAGAAGGACTGTCCTTGTCCTTGGAGCCTCCAATCCACCTGATCACCCACCTGCACATCCAGGTACTCGACTGTCCTCCAGCCCTGCCTTACCCGGCACTGTGGCCTGGGCCCCTAGGGACTGGAGCTCAACCTGGAGCCAGCTGACCTGCAGCAGCCCTGGCCCACTGGCCCTTGGGCACCCAGAGCTCAGAACTGCTACCCTACTCTAGGCACAGAAAGGGCCACCAGGCTCAACGGGGGCGGGGGGGACCCCGTCACTATGACAGTTCCTCTCCCCACGATGCCCACAGGGATGGCCCAGCTGCTGCAAGCAGTGAGGATTTGGCCAGGCCACATGGCCTTGAACTCTGTGCAGGATCTCGGTCAGATCCTGAAGGCCTTGCTGGGTCTGGTGGTACACACCTGTAATCCCAGCATTTGGGAGGTTGAAGCAGAAGGATTGTTATGGGTTCAAGCTAGCCTGGGCTACAGAGTGAGAGCCTGTCTCAAACACACACACACACACACACAAATCCTCAAGGCCTCACCTGGGGACACTGAACACAGATCAGAGTCCCAGGCCACCCCGGCAACCTCAATTGCCAACCTCAGCTGGGCCACAGGAGCAGGAAGTGCTGCCAGCGACCCCTTTCTGCATTCTGGTGACAGCTCTGTGCTGCACTGGCACGGCCTTCACACGTCCCACTCAGCAGCTCCTGGAGCACAGCATGTGCTGGGGTGTGGGGATGGTGGGGTCCTGTCCCCTTGGGCCTCAGAGACCCCAACCTGTGAGCCCCAGTCTCGGCCACCCTCATCCGAGGCCTTGGTGCCCAACAGTCAGGCTATCCCTGCCTCAGGAGGCTCCAGGTCTTTGCAGTGAGACCCCCTCAGCTGTCCCAGAGACCACACAGGGACAGGCTACCAATGGCAGTCAGGCCTGCCCAGAAAGGGCCTTCCCTCACCAGCCCAGGGCAGTGACTTAGCTGGCTGTGGCCAGGACGGCTGATGAGCCCTCCCCTAGGTGAGCTCTGTGCACACGAAGACGGACATCTCTCCAACTGGCCTGAGCCCTGGGTCAGAGGGAGCGTCACCAGGCAGGCGGCAGAATGTGGCTACCATGCAGGCCTGGGCTCTGAGCCCTGGGGTCTCTGTGTGCTCATGGACAAAAGGCCCATGAAGCTCTCGGTGCCCCTCTGTTGGCAGGGGCAGGGGCAGAGACCACAGGGCACCAGCGAGCACCGCACTGTCCAGCCCAGAGCCAAAGTTCCCTGACCCACGCGACGGGGGAGGTGGTTTTATAGGAGCCATTGACCGGCAGCATTGATCCCCAAGAATGTATCGCACAAATCATTTTGCACTAAACTGCGGAATCGATGGAGAAATCTCCCGGAAAATTTATATTAAAAGTCTCTGTTTGCCTAAATGAGTTCCCTGTGCCCATATTGAATATTTGGCTGATGAATTGAATGGGTTTAAATTTGAACATTGCAGACCCATTAAAGAATGAATTCTTAAATCAAACCCTGCCATTTATGATTGAAATGAGATTTCCTCTGCGATGGACCAGCCACTATATAAATCAGCTGTGCGTTTTATACTGAACCATAAACAAGATATAATTCTTTTAAATACACAACAGGTGCCTTAAATCTTTTGATGCATCTTGTATTTATCCAAAGTGCAGATTGCCGTATTTACACCAGGTCGCACAGGGCCTCTGATGATCCTGGCTGGTGAAGGTTCAAGTCTTGGCCTGCTGGGGTCCTGCACCTGACGCTCCAGAGGAGTGTGGCATCTGAAGCAGACCCCAGGCACTGCCAACACCCAAGCCAAGCTCCCTCTGTCGTATGTGTGGACAGGCATGTGTGTCTTCACACATACACACTGTACATGCCTGTGCACACACATGGAACACAGCTTCATACCAGCTCACACTCACACACAGCACCTAAAGTCACAAACACACACAGCAGATGCACAAGCTCATACAAGTCCATATAAATGTGCACACACACGTGCACACATGCTCACACAAGCCCACATGCCACCCATGTATGCTCACACAGTACCCACATGTGCACAACATGGATGCAATGCTCACAAGACAGATGAACACTCACACACTAGGAGGACCACAGACGCACGCATACACATCAGCATGCATTCCCATGCACAATATATACATGCACGTGCAGACCATGTAGTACATTCATACACGTACTTGTATGTACTTACACACGTGTGCACATGCTTGCTGGCACACACAAGCACACAGCACCCATGTGCACACATAGAACATGTAACAAACACACACAGAGCAATTGGTTAAATGTATATATGTGCACCTATGCAGCAATTCACCAACACGAGAGCACAGTGCGTGCACAGCCACACACAGCACAGTGATCAGACAAGCACAGCATACTTGTACAACATGCGTGCACCTGATTATACTCGCCCTTACCTACTCCTGTCTCCCACTGTACCCAGGCCTCTGAACCCCACCCAGTGGGGACTTACTGAGGCGCTAAGGAGGGACAGCCACAAACAGCCCTGCCCCTCCAGGTGGTGCAAATGCCTGGGAAGGGCACAGGGAAACTGCAGATGGAGGGCAGTAAGGACAGGGTCAGGACTGGGAATAAAGACAATAAAGAGTTCGGTCATAGGATGTACAAGTAGCACCCATTACCTGCCACCCTTAGCTACAAATGGCAACTCCCTCCACACAACAGTCTGTGCAGCTCATGCATGTGACATTGAACAGAAACCCAAACACCTCACCGAGAACCCATTCATCCTCAACATGGGACACTCTTGTCTTACGTCTGAGAACTCTCCTTGCACCAACAGACAACACAGCACACTGCTCCTCACACCACAGAGCACTGTACTGTTCACACCATGGAGCACTGTCCATCTCACACCACAAAACACTCTCACACCACTGAGCAATCTGTACCTCACACCACACAGCCCTCTCCTCACACCACACAGTGCTCTCCTCACACCATACAGCGCTCTCCTCACGCCACACAACCCTTTCCTCACACCACACAGCCCTCTCCTCACACCACACAGCGCTCTCCTCACACCATACAGCGCTCTCCTCACACCACACAGGGTTCTGCTCACACCACACAGGGCTCTCCTCACACCACACAGCGCTCTCCTCACACCACACAGCCCTCTCCTCACACCACACAACCCTCTCCTCACACCACACAGTGCTCTTCTCACACTACACAGGGTTCTGCTCACACCACACAGCCCTCTCCTCACACCACACAGTGCTCTCCTCACACCACAGAGCGCTCTCCTCACACCACACAACACTCTCCTCACACCACACAGCCCTCTCACACCACACAGCGCTCTCCTCACACCACACAGCACTCTCCTCACACCACACAGCGTTCCCCTCACACCACACAGCCCTCTCCTCACACCACACAGCGCTCTCCTCACACCACAGAGCCCCTCCCTCCTCATCCTTACCTCACTCTGATTAACACATCTGGACCTATTTCCTCTTGACCTCAAAATCCTCTTGTCCTCCACTCTGAAGTTTCTCTCCCACACACCTGGAATACTCTGGTCTGCATACTTGGAACCCTGTATTCATCATACCACAGAGCTCTCCTCCCTCCTCACCCCTCTGTCTCCCTGGAACACTCTTTTCTTAAGTACCAAACACTTTCTTCCTCAAAGCTTGATATCTCTCCTGGACCTTCACATCCAGACTCTTCCTCCACAAGCTCCACCCTCCCTTGGCTCTTCCTCCTCCCCTGGCTCCTCTGTGAGACCTAGAGCTCCTCTCACAGCTTGCCTTCCTCCCCCACCTGCCCTAGCTCCCAG